TCGCCGGGGTTTCGGTGCCTCTTGTACCCCTAGCCCAGACCGCGGAACCGGCAGTAAATTGGGTTAGCCTGCTTAAGGAGGCTCCAGGCATCGTGCCTGCGAAACTAGCAGGGGGGCGGTGGTCACAATTAATTAAAGACTTCTGGCTTTGCTTCTAATTGGTTCATAGCGAACTGTGGAGGAATAACTGCAACCAGTTTGCTTTGAACAAAGGAGAAGCGATTGCCCGCCTGGAGGTGGAAGGGCATTCGGGATGGCTGGCTCCCTGGCCGCGGCTGATCAGCCGGGGACTGACTCTGCCTCACGTGGTTAGTTTCCAGCTGCGGATGTCTCCACCCTGAGCGAAGCCGTGCCCGGCGAGAGCAGGTCCGCGGGCATCCAGACCAGCCTGCTGTCTCCTCTCCTCACAGAGACCGAGTCGCCTTTCGATCTGGAGCAGCAGTGGCAGGACCTCATGTCTATCATGGAAATGCAGGTGAGCTCGAGGCGGGGCTGTGGGAAAGCGTTTGCCCCCGCGTGTTGCTCTCCCGTTGAATTGAAGTTCGATGGCAGACCCGAGTGCCCCGGACGATCGCGGTTTGGGGTCGGTCGCAGCTGCTTTGGTTTTCGCCTGCGCGGTGCCGCTGTGCCGCCCGTTAAGACCCTCCTGCAGCTGGCGGAGAGCTCCTTCCGCGGGATCCAGAAACATTGTCCTGTCTCTTTTTGGCCGGGAGGGAAGGGCACTGAGGAAAGGCAGGGCTGGAGCGCGGCTCATTTACCAAGCTGTTCCGCATCTCTTCCAGGCTATGGAAGTGAACAACACAACCGCAGAAACCATGTACAACGGCACGAGCGGAGACCTGCTGACTTCTAACTACAGCCTCGCTCCGAACACTCCCATCAATCAGAATGTCAGCCTGCATCAGGCCTCTCTGGGTAGCTGCTCACAGGACTTCCCCCTCTTCAGCTCAGAAATCGAAAGCCCCTCCATGGCTGGCAGCTCGGCCCTGCTCCAGCTGGCGCCGGACAACTCCACCGGCCTCAACACCACCTTCGGCTCCACCAACTTGAGCGGCATCTTCTTCCCTCCGCAGCTGAACAGCACAGTCAACGAGACGGCTGGCCCCGAGCTGCCGGACCCGCTGGGCGGTCTTCTAGACGAAGCCATGCTTGACGAGATCAGCTTGATGGACTTGGCGATTGAAGAAGGTTTCAACCCGGTGCAGGCCTCGCAGCTGGAAGAGGAGTTTGACTCCGATTCGGGTCTTTCTCTGGATTCCGGCCACAGTCCTGCTTCTCTGAGCAGCTCAGAAGCCTCCTCCTCCTCCTCGTCGTCCTCTTCCTCCTCATCCTCTTCCTCCTCCTCGTTTTCTGAGGAAGGAGCTGTTGGCTACAGCTCAGACTCTGAAAACGTGGACTTTGAAGAAGCGGAAGGGGCGGTTGGATACCAGCCAGAGTACAGCAAGTTCTGCCGCATGAGCTACCAGGACCCGTCGCAGCTCCACTACTTGCCTTACCTGGAGCACGTTGGCCACAACCACACCTATAACATGGCGCCGGGGGCCCTGGATCCAGAGGAGCCCAAACTGCCCAGCGCCGGGAAGAAGAGCAGCAAGGAGAAGCCGTCCGAGTTCCTGGATAAGCAGATGAGCAGGGACGAGCATCGAGCCAGAGCCATGAAGATCCCCTTCACCAACGACAAGATCATCAACCTGCCCGTGGAGGAGTTCAACGAGCTCCTCTCCAAGTACCAGCTCAGCGAGGCGCAGCTGAGCCTGATCCGGGACATCAGGAGGCGAGGCAAGAACAAGATGGCTGCCCAGAACTGCCGCAAGAGGAAACTGGACACCATCCTCAACTTGGAACGGGACGTCGAGGACTTGCAACGAGACAAGTCCAAACTGCTCAGGGAGAAGGTGGAATTCCTCAAATCCATCCGCCAGATGAAACAAAAGGTGCAGAACCTCTACCAGGAAGTGTTCGGCCGGCTGCGGGACGAGAACGGCCAGCCCTACTCCCCCAGCCAGTACGCCCTGCAGTACGCCAGCGACGGCAGCGTCATTTTGATACCTCGCGCCGTGGCTGACCAGCAGGCCCGGCGGCAGGAGCGGAAACAGAAGGACCGGAGGAAGTGAAGGGACGGCGATGCGGGAGGAGTGGGACACTCGCTCAAGTGAGAACTGGAGAAGGGCTGAGTCTGGAAGTACTTAGAGGAACTTTCATGCCTTCTTATCCAATATATCTTCTCAAAAAAAAAAAAACGTGACTGCTGCCGGTCAGTGTACGGGAGAGACTGCGGGACCTGCAGGCTGAGTTTTGAGGGCTCCCTGCGGGGAGGGACGGGGAGGAGCGGACCCGGCACTGGCGAGCCTGGCGCCTTCCACACCTGGAATCCTTTGAGTGCAGGAAACGAGCTGGCATCACTGGTGGTGAGATTGGCAGAGGCGGAAAAACTACTGTTAGGAACTGGCTTTAAATAAGAAAAGAGATTTAAGCAAATGAACTTAAAACGAGTTATAGGAGAGACATTTTTCTGAACTTCCAAAGTTCTGTGATTTCAGGTAGCTGGTTTCTTTTTTTTCCTTTTCTTTTTTGGTTTTTTTTTTTTTCCCCTTTTCCTGAACCAGTTTTGACATCGGTGTGTGTGATTCAATCTGACTTAATTCCAGATTAACCAACATCCCTTCCTAAATCAGACCAGTGCACACATGGAAACACAAGTGGTGTGACTTCCATTAACCCTTTCCAGTCTGAGGAAGCGCAGAGCGGGGGGGC